CAAAGCACATTAATGAACATCAGTATAAAAACAAATGTAAATATGCCGGATTATAGCTACAAAGCTAGTTTTCATCCGTAGTCCCTAGGAAGGCAAATACATAAGAAAGAACATAAAATATACAATATAAGCATTACAAGGAAATATTAAGAGTTTAGTGGTCACATGACTGGTTTGTTTTCATCCATAGTTTGAGTCGAGCTCTAAATGTGGAAAAGGGCTTGGCTAATGTACATTTGTACGTTTTTGTGCCTTCACAAACTTGTAACAATTTCTGAAGTAAGACTGGTTAGACTCTACGGTTAAGTCTTCTTGGAAGATTCACATTTCCACCTTTTAATTCAAGCCATTGTCCAAATTTTCCCCCAGTGCCCCCCCGTTTTGTGGTACAGCCCAATAACCAGGACTGCATATACGGAAAAGCCGGAGTTCTAAATTGCTCCGTGGAGGGGTACCCACCCCCAAAAGTCATGTGGAAACACGCAAAAGGTAAATTTATCCGTGAGATTTACCAGGCGGACAAGGTGGAAAATACGGAGAAGCTGACATTTTTTTTAAATGCCTTCTTTGTGCTCGGTCCTGCAGGTGTTGGAAATCCCCAACAGTATCACCCTGTCCCTCTCACTGGCCGCATCCAGATCATGTCAAATGGCTCTCTGCTCATCCGACACGTTCTTGAGGATGATCGGGGGTACTACCTCTGTCAGGCCTCCAACGGCGTGGGCTCAGACATCAGTAAAAGCATGATCCTCACTGTCAAGAGTAAGTGTCAATCATTGTTTTTCCTTTAATAGCCACATCTCCTGGACGTTACAGGGGGTAAATCTTCAGTTTTTTCGACAGGAATCACCACTTCTAAGATGCACTTTTTGCCCCCGGGGCTAGTGCGGCCTGGACCGAACACGAAAAAAAAAACCTTGTCTCCGCCCTGCAAACCCCTAACTGGGAATGCCTTCGCTATTGATTTCTGTGTTTCGGCGGTCGGTCTGTAAGCTCCTGAATGTTAGATTGGGAGGAGGGTTAATGAATTAGTGATGGAAACAAAACCACGGGATCTTTACTCGATCAATAATCCATGTCCGAGGACCAGAAAAGGAAATAAACATGAAGTATGGAAAGAGGAGAGGACGGTGAGGGTGGGTGGACCGAGGCTTGAAGCGTGAAATGATAATATAAAAAAGAGGGCCGGAACAGGGATGTCTACACATCTGTAATATATCCACCATTCCCTCGTCTCATTACTTCGTATAAAACCTCTTCATTACTCTGACACGTGTCCCGCGGATCCGTTCAGTTCCCGCCATGATCACCAGCCACCCCAACACGACCATGGCGAGGAAGGGCCAGATCAAGGAGCTGAACTGCACGGCGCGGGGGGAGCAGCCCATCATCATCCGCTGGGAGAGGGGGGACACGGTCATCGACGCGGAGAGAAACCCCCGCTACTCCATCACCATCAACAAGAAAGGGGACGAAGTCATCTCCACCCTAAAGGTCAGAATTCGCGTGCGACTCATAACTCAGATGAAAGCTTTAAAAATAAAAATAAAAACGGAATAAAGCCGCGACGCTGCATTAATCTGATCCCGAACTGAAGTTACGTCTTATTGTTCAGTGAACTTCAGAGATGCAGGTTTTTTTGTTTTTTTTTACATCCTCACTCTTTGTGCTGATCTACCTGAATTTCCCAAAATACCTCAAATCCACACAGATACACTTTGGACTGGGAATTGTCCAGATAATGTCTGAAAGATAAGATAAGATAAGATAAGATAAGATAAGATAAGATAAGAGCTTTATTGATCTCACAGTGGAGAAATTCACTGGTCACACATCGGTTAGAGTTCAAAAGGAGGAAAAGGTGCATAAAGTACAGCAAAAGCAAACAAAGATACAAGGAAAGCTAGACGAGACTAAAACTCAAGACTGATTCTATGTTTCAACTTACAAACTCTGTCATCGGAGAGATGATGAGATTCTTATGGTCCAATTGATCCACAGATGAAGATACCACAGCGAGTTGGATTAGCTCTAACAATAAAAACACACAAAATGGAGGCAGCTTGGTGATCCATTGATTGATATTTCCCTGAGAAAACTCTTTTTTTCATGAGCAAGAACCCCATCTATCTGGTTCGTTACACGTTTTAGCCCCCGACAAACATTTCTTCAACATATTCCCACAGTTTCCTGTGCCTCAACATTCACACATGTTTTTTCGTGAGTTTTATGCTAGGATATTTAGTTTATGTTGTTATCTATAAACTAAACCAGTGTCAAAAGCTCATCATTGGGCCACACTGACCAAATAGAATCTCCTCTGTCTGGTCCATATGCTTTAATCGTCAGAAACAGTTTACCAGAACATGAACTTATCTTCAGAAAGATTTATTTTTGTACTGTAATTACAATTTAACCAGAATTTCCCAGAAGGAGTAATCCCGAGGGATAAATAAAATTGATTCTAAGTCTAAGTTGAGGTTTCAGACTTTGTTCTTTTATCTAATAGGTCTTGACCGTAGTCATTTCATAGACTCTCTGTGTATAATAAGTAGATAAATGAGTCAGTGCGAAGGATATTTGAGTTTTGTTTGCAGATTCTAACCTTTTCTTGTTTGTGCTGCTCGCAGCTGAACCCTGCAGAGCGAGGAGACTCCGTCTTCTTTTCCTGCCACGCCATCAACTCCTACGGAGAAGGCCGAGGCCTCATCCAGCTCACAGTCCAAGGTATTTCCACGGAATTTTAGCTCTTTAGTTTTTAATTGACTATATATATTCTTTTATCTATAGAAAGCACGATGCTTTCAGGCTGCAGTTGCAACATATCCAGTTGTTAGTGGTGGTGCGGAATACTGATTTTCTTATTTTTTCCTACAAAACACAGAGCCACCAGACCCCCCAGAGCTGGAAGTGAGGGAGGTGAAGGACCGGAGCATGAACCTACGCTGGATCCAAAGGTTCGATGGCAACAGCATCATCACCAGCTATGACATCGAGTACAAGAACAAGTCAGGTAGGGGTTGAAAAGTTTAAATCCAAGCCTTCTGATTGGCCTTTATAGCACTAGCAAACTAAGATTTTGTATCTGCTCCTGTTTGGCAGATTCTTGGGATCACATGTACACAACCAGGAACATTTCGCCGACTAACAACCAGGCCAACATTGTTGAATTGCACCCGGCCTGCGTCTACAGCATCCGCATGTACTCCTACAACAAGATCGGCCGCAGCCTTCCCAGCAAAGAGCTCACCATCAGCACAGAGGAAGCACGTAAGTCCACACTTTTTTTTTCCTTTTCAAATGTTTTCCGCTTCATTTTTTTGTTTTGTTTCGGTTACTGTTCTTCATGTGTTCAAGAGTTAAGAGTATGTTGAGAGTAACACTCCCGTTAACATCAACAGCACCTGACGGTCCACCAATGGACGTCATCCTCCAGCCAATGACGTCTCAGAGCATACGAGTCACATGGAGGGTAAGATTCATCTTTAGGGATTCCTTTATTACACTGTGTATAACACAGGATCTAAGGCTTTCTTGGAATATTATTTATTGTTTTTTCGTGACTCAATAAACTCTCCGATCTTAAAGTGGGGGAAATACAGTGGTCTGCAAAAGTTTGGGCAACCTTGTTCATTTCCATGATTTTCCTTCATAAATCGTTGGTTCTTAGGATTAAAAAAATCAGTTAAATATATCGTATAGGAGACAAACACAGTGATATTTGAGAAGTGAAACGAAGTTTATACCATTTACAGGAAGTGTGCAATAATTGTTTTAACAAAATTAGGCATGTGCATAAATTTGGGCACCACAATAAAAAGAAATAACTCAAAATTTAGTAGATCCCCCTTTTGCAGAAAAAACAGCTTTTAAACGCTTCCTATAGCTTCCTACGAGATATATAGGAGACTGTGTTTGTCTCCTATATGATATATTTAACTGTTTTTTTTTATCCTAAGAACCAATGATTTATGAAGGAAAATCAGTGAAATTAACAAGGTTGCCCAAACTTTTGCAGACCACTGTAAGTATTTGACCCCTTCCTGATTTTGCAGGTTTGCCCACTTACAAAGAATGCAACGATCTATAACTTTAATCATATGTACATTCTAACAGTGAAAGACAGAATCCCAAAGAATATTCCAGAAAATCACATCATATGAATTTTTAAAAATTGCTAACCATCTGAAGAGGAAAAATAAGCATTCTTTGTAAGTGGGCAAACCTGCAAAATCAGCAAATGGGTCAAATACTTATTTCCCCCACTGTATCTTATCCAACTTACTGCCATAGATTTAAGCTTTATTTTTTTATTTTTTAAACTCTCAGGCTCCTAAGAAGGAGCTGCAGAACGGGGTGATCCGAGGCTATCAGATCGGCTACAGGGAGAACGGCCCGGGCAGCAACGGCCAGTACAGCATCGTGGAGATGAAAGCCACGGGGGACAGCGAGGTGTACACGCTGGACAACCTGAAGAAGTTCGCTCAGTACGGGGTGGTGGTCCAGGCCTTCAACAGGGCCGGGACCGGCCCGTCCAGCACCGAGATCAACGCCACCACGCTGGAGGACGGTAGGATGAAGACTTATCAATCAATCAAATCAATCAATATTTATTTATATAGCACTTTACAACAACAGGAGCTGATCAAAGTGCTTAACAGAATAAAAAACAGATCAAACTATCGAACAATACAAAATGATACACAAAGACAAACACATCGGTGACAGAACCCAGTATAGAGAGACCCTACGTGCAAAAAGCCATCCTGAACAAATACGTTTTAAGGCGAGGTTTGAACAGTGGCAGTGGTCAGTAAATGAACGTAATTCAGTGGGCAGAGAGTTCCACAGTTTAGGTCCTGCCAAAGGAGCGGTCACCCCACTGCTCGCACCTGGACCGTGGGACCTCCAGCAGATGTTGACCAGCAGACCGAAGTGGTCTGCTGACCCGGTGAAACCTCAGAATTTCACTAATATATGGAGGCGCAAGGCCATTAACTGCTCGAAAGACAAACAAGAGTGTTTTGAATTGAATTCTGCACTGTACCGGGAGCCAGTGTAGGGAGTGGAGGACAGGTGTGATGTGGTCATGTCTACGGGTGTTGGTCAGGAATCGGGCAGCTGCATTCTGTACTAGCTGAAGGTGATGGAGGGATGTTTGACTTAGTCCAAAGTACAGAGCATTACAATAGTCCAAATGGGAGCTGATAAAGGCGTGGATGGCTTTTTCGAGGTCGCAGCGGCTCAGGAAGGGTTTCACCTTAGCAAGAAGGCGAAGCTGAAAAAAGCTTGCCTTCACCACCGCATTAACCTGTTGGTCGAACTTTAAGCTGGAGTCGAATTTTACACCGAGATTTTTAATCACATGGGAACAGTGAGGGGCCAGAGAACCAAAACTAGGCGACATATGCATATCTGTCCCACCAAACAAAATACACTCAGTCTTGTTCTCATTCAGGCAGATAGTAACTTATGATAGTAACTCAGGTGAAAACTGGTGGGAATCTCTTTGATCTCCCAAAAAGACAGGAAATGGAACGACGAGGCCGAAATGAACGCGGAGCAATACGAAGAAAACCTACTCTTACAAATCGGTAGAAGTGAATCTGTAGCACATCCCCCCAATACTTTCTCAGCTTTAATTAGCACCCTCATTAGGCTGGTGGAGAGCAAGAGTTGAACACGGAACCCCATTACTCTTCAAATGTCTACCCACACCGTCTCTTTTTTTCCCGTTCTCTTCTCTCTCATTGGTTCCTCTCTCATTCCCCTCGTGACTCATCTGTCTATTTCGCGTGTTTTAATTTCTCCCACTTCTCAATGGTCCTTTCCTGTCTGAGTGGGGAGTAATGGCAGACTCCCTGAGTGATGATAGCGTGTGGTGTGAAGCTGCCCTAACAACTACCTCTGGATTAAACAAGATTCCGTCCTCCTATTTTTGCTCGTGCTTCCTTCATTTGCATTATAACCCCTCAGATGGAGCTCTTTTACGATTCATGTTGCAAACTCAGTGCTCGTCCTCAACTCCACCACTTCTCCCATCCGCTCTAAAAAGCTGAAGCAATTCAGAGCTAATTTGGGTTTATTTGACGGATTCGTATCAGCAGAGACTGCAGAACTTCCTAGTAACAACGAGGATATTTTTAACCCTTTAAAGCCTGATCCAAGAACAAAACAAAACAGAAAATTACTTTTTTTTTTTCTTTGAATTCCTTATTTGGCCTTTTAACAAAATATGTAAAAAGTTAAAACAGAAATACATTTTTATTATTAACTCATTGACTGCCAGAGTTTTTTGAGCATTTTGACTGATTTTTCAAGAGCCACAGAATAGTTTGTGCTATGGCTATGTAAACACCGAACACACCAAAAGAAAGAGTAGACTCTCTTCCTTCATCAGGAAAAAAAATGTGTTTCTACCTTATTCCGTTCTTCCTCGACTTGCCTCTCACCGGCGACATGTTCTCTCATAGCGAACCGTTACCTTTTTCTTATTTGCCTACAGTCTATGCTCATCTCCCATCAAAAGTGGCACTGCCACCTAGAGGGTCAATTTGTTACTACATACTCTGTCTAGAAGCCGATATTTACGGACAAGCTTTAGCAGATCGTCCCCCAAGTCACTCTCGTTGAAAAACATAAAAGACGTCTATAGACGTCTTTGACAGCCAATGAGTTAATAATTTATTACTATGCGATAAGTCAAGATTATTTTTGTGTAGTCTTCTGCCCCCTGTTATCAGGTGTATCTGGTTGTGTACAATAGGATTTTGAGCAAAGTTTTTACCATTAAATTATGCAAAAGGTGTCAGACGCAAAACATTTCAGAAACCGTACGAATCAAATATGATACATTTGGCATTAAAAGCAAAAAACCCATCGAAATAACCCCGCCGCTCACTGATTTGACCACTGACCGCTAACCCCCCCCCCCCCCCCTCTGACCCCTCCAGTGCCCAGCGAGCCCCCGCAGAACGTGCGGGCCATCTCGGTGACGTCTGACGAGGCGGTGATCACGTGGGCGGAGCCTCCGCGGCTCACGCTGCACGGCGTGCTCAAGGGCTACCGGGTGGTGTTTTGGTCCCTCTTCCCCGACGGAGGTGGGTGCTGTGGGGGCCAGGCCCAGTGGCCAATGCAGAGTAATTATCACCTATCTCATTTTAATATTCACCCTCCCGCCCCCCCGCCCTCGTTCCCACCCCGCCCGCCCCCCTGTTTGTGTCGTGAAGTGGAACGTGTCGTCTGTCCAAACCTTCCTCATCGTGCACTTCCTGTTCCTCTGTGTCCATGTTTATGTCCGTCTAGCAGTAGTGAGAATAGCGTATAACAGTTGAGTGTTTGTGTAGTTTTGCAGGATTTCAGTTTGAGTACGACTGAATAACATTTGCAAAAGATTTTGTGTTTTTAAAGTTTTTTAAGAATCCATAACATGGATGTTTATTGCAGTTCAGATGCAAACCGTTCTGAATTTACATTCAGTTTGAGTACAACTAAATAACATTTGCTAAAGATATTGTGTTTTTTAATTTTCTTAGGAATCCAAAACATAGTCTGAAGTTTATTGCAGTTCAGAGGCAAACCATTCTGAATTTACATTCAGTTTGAGTACAACTAAATAACATTTGCTAAAGATACTGTGTAGAAATGTCCAGGTTACCCTTTTTTAATTTTTTTAGGATTTCAGATACTAACCATTCTGAATTTACATTCAGTTTGGGCAGAAAATGGAATATCAGTTGTGGCCTTGTGGCCTTTTTTAGTTTCTGAATAGATTTAGCAAAGCAGTTTAGCCGCATATGTGTGTTTGCAGTCAGAGACAGAGTCGGTCTGAGTGAATTTAAGTTTTCCCCCTCCCGCTCTCCCTCAGAATGGGGAGAAATGCAGAACATCACCACCACGCGGGAGCAGGTGGAGCTCCGCGGGCTCGACAAGTTCACCAACTACAGCGTCCAGGTGCTGGCCTACACTCAGGCCGGAGACGGGGTCCGCAGCAATGTCCTGTACATCCAAACCCGGGAGGACCGTAAGAACAATTTTTCTCTAATCAGTTCTTCTAAATGATAACGTCTATTATTTTAAATGGGCTGCAGATAAAATAAAAAAAAGATGCCTGGTTTCTTCCCCAACCCATGACAAAAGCTCATTCATGTTGGGAAGCTCCATTAGCAGTGCTAATGAGAATTAAGAGGCTTTGGGCCTACAGCTCAGGGCTGAGGGGGTGAGAGGGAGGGGGGAGGGAGGGAGGAGGGGGGAGGGGGGCAGCGTTCAGGAATCACCCATCAGCCCGGGCCCGCGTGGTCTCCACCAGGCCCTTTGCCACGGGCGCGGAGATTAACTCCGCGTGGATTAGAGAGAATTAATTTTGTGCTTACACCATTGGAGGCGGGATTACAGCCAGATCCATGTCTCTGGATAAAGGAGGAGGAGGGGCTTAAAAGGGTTGAAGATGGAACGATAGAAAGGGATCACACAATAGTCTGGGCTGCATCAGATAAGGCCTTGAATACAATTTTTTTTTGTTTTTTTGGACATGGCCAATTTAACAACGATTGCTCAATTTGTGTGGCGTTTTTTTTAGTATTTTTTTCCGGGTTTGACACATTAACCACGTGCCTTTCCTCTTTTTTGTCGTCACTTTGGCAGCAGACTGTGTGTCTGTGTGTCTGCCTGGAGTCCGGGGGCAGATTTTGGGCACCAGATGGGACTTAACCCCTCCACCTTTTCGTTTTTTTTTTCCCGCGGCGGGCCGGTTTTGACAGTGATCACTAGCTCCTCTGCTCCGATTCCATCATCACTCCTCCAGTCCAGGAGCCCCACCTAACATTCTCACGCATTCTCCTTTATAAAAACCTCCCTTTTTAGGGCTCTTCTTTTCAATTTATGTGCAGTCGGAGGTGTTCAAGTCAATAGACGAACTAAACTAAATGGGGGGCCCTCACAGAAAGAACAAAATAAAACTGTGGGATGGATTTGGACTCTGTGTCACGGTCCTTGACTGGACCCCAGATGGGGCCCACTGTCAGGAGTGAGTTATATTTATGGTGGGGGACTGAATAGGCTTGATAGGTTGGGCCCTATACAGTAAGACACCTACGACAAAAGCGTTTTTGTTCCCCCTTTCACAGTATCAAGTGTCCCTGATGTGTTTTTGTCAAATGAATCCTTTCTTAAACCCCTCACGCGCCATTATCTTGTAATCAAAGTATTAGTTGGTGTGCGGCGCGAAGCTGAAGTGGCTCGCAGAGGATCAGACACCAATAATCTAATAGACTAATCTGTTTGTGGGTTTGAGAGTTAGCAGACCGACGGGTGTCCGAGAATCAGAACTGCTGACCAATGTCTAAACGAACATATGTCACCGCTGTCCACCCGAAAGGGAGTTCTTCCAAGTCTTATCCTGCTTAGTGCAGGATAAGACTACCAATCTGCAAACAAGCCTGCTCACTTTAACAAGCGTCCAACACCCAATATGTGTGCATTAAGACACACACACACACACACACACACACACAAATACACTGTCTAAGCCTGGCTGCATGTGCTGATGCTGCTGTGTGTTTTTCTCTCCAGTGCCTGGCCCCCCAGCTGGCATCAAAGCGGTTCCTTCCTCTCCGAGCAGCGTGGTTGTGTCCTGGTTACCCCCCCTGAAACCCAACGGGGTCATCCGCAAGTACACCATCTACTGCTCCAGCCCGGGATCCGGACAGCCAGTAAGTCCTCCCCTTATCTGGGTCCAGCTCCTGAGAGGATGGTAAAAAAAATAAAAAAATAAAATTGTTTAGGTGCTTGAGGATCAAGTAGGTTGATAAAAAAAAAAAAAAAAAAAAGTAGTATCTACAAACGAGAATGATTCATTCACAACCACTATCGTTAATTGAACCTGTGTGCGTGTGTGTGTGTGTGTGTGCGCGGTTTTTCGCTCCCCGTCTCGCTTTCACTGTTTGCACCATTGCTTTATTTCCTGCCCTCCCAGATGAACAGATGAGGTTGTCTTGGCAACGTGATGAGACGTAGATATGCAAATGAGGCCCGAGAACAAGCTCACACATGCACACTGCCGCATCAGAAGCGCAAACACACACACACACACACACACACACACACAGGGGCGTCACATTTCGACATTTTCTATTTATAAACACACGCACGGCGTTTCAATTTTGGTTTTTCGATCATATGCAACCAAACGCCAAGCGCACGGCGAAGTCTGATACAAGGAGAGAATCTCACTTTCTTATTATTCACAAATATTCCTCCCTTCCTGTGCATGAGTTCCATGTAAATGAGCACGGGCAGAAAAAGGGAGGGAGGGAGGGAGGGAGGGAGGGAGGGAGGGAGGGAGGGGGAAAGGAGGCTGGGAGAGAAAAAGAGACACACCATTAGACGTAGGGATTCACCAAGGGGAGAGGGTGGAAAAAGAGGAGGATGAGGGAGACGGGCTGGGTGGTAGGGAGGAGCAGGGGGGGGTATCAGTCACATCAAGATGAGAGTGCTTTTGTCCGTCTTTTCATTATCTCCCTGTATCACTCCCTGGATCACCACAACACCACCACGATGCTGGAGGAATGTTCAAACCCCCTAGAAACACACACACACACACACACACACATATCCCCCCCCTCTGTCCCTCCATCCTCTGCTCTTCACTGAGCAACACAGAGAAGGGGAAAAAAAAGCAGGAAAAGCAAATGATGAAGGGACAAAGATGAATTCTCGGAGATGAACAGATTAAAGAGATGGAAGCGGATCATCTTGAGATACAACAGTGTTTATCGGCACACACCGGCTTTTTTTGGGGAATGTTGGTGGAAGTGCAGATTTTCAAAGATTTGTCTAAGGGAAATGCAACACAGGAATAATAGAAATAACTTCACTACTGAAGCCTAAAAGCTCCTATAGCTTCCTATTCCAACATAAGTATGACAAAATTAAGACACAATGCTTCTAATTATGATTATTACATCATGTCTAGTGTATGGATTTGATAAAGCAGAGGTACAAAATGGTAAAAATGTTTAGAAAAAACACCAATCCTGTATTTGTACTCATTATGTACTAATAATCATTTAGTAATTTAAATTTACATGATCAATTATAACAGATAAATAGATAATGTAGCATATACATGCAGACAAAAAGATTAAAAACAACCCTGACAGTAATGTATTGCCACACACTACGTCAGTATCATGTTGAGCTTTTAAGAGGACAAGAGTGTTTAGATATGAAATAAAAACATAAAAGTTGTTTGCAAGGCGGGACCTAAAATATGTGTATCTTGAAACCCAAATATGAGTCTTTCTGGAGAACAGTTTTCCATATTATGATTGACGAACAATGTCTAATAAGGTTAGATAAGTATGTAGATATGGATACGACATCATTTTATGTGTAATTTCCTATCTTTCATCATTCCCATTTCTATCATTTTTTGGGGGAGTGTCTTCAACAAAAGTCTGTACTGGTGCCGTGTTATCAGACCAGGCTAACGTGACATGGCGTGCTCTCTCTTTAAGGCACCCAGCGAGTACGAGGCCAACCCGGAGATGCTCTTCTACCGCATCACGCACCTGAGTCGCAGTAAACAGTACCACATCTGGGCCGCCGCCGTGACGACCGCCGGCCGCGGCAACATCAGCGCAAAGGTCACCGTGGAGCCCGCTGGGAAAGGTGGGTCCCCGGGGTTTGGACCACAGGGGGGGGGGGGGGAAGAGATTTGTGCAAAGGTTACGGGGGGACGACATCGAAACCGACTACATGATCTCCCCCCAACGCGGATGTCTTTCATCCCTCCCTCTCCACGCTACACGCCGCTATTGATTGACAGCCCGGGCTATCGATCGCATTGTGGCTGTGTTGCCTGAAACACTGTTGTTAATTATGTGGTGATGAACAGGGCCTATCTGGTAAAATGACCCCCTGGGAGAGTGCTTGCAGGCCGGGATCGATACAGGGGGGAGGATCTATAGAGTAAAGATTGAGTGAAACTAAGAGGTTTGAGGAGGGGCCCACGTTAAAAAAAAAAAACCCACGCGCTATAGCTTTTTATTCCCTTCAGCCCCGGATAAAGTCTTTTCCCCCTCAGGGCAAAGTAAACAGCACACACTGACAGACGAGGTCAGATATGGAGTCAGAAAAAGGCGGTGCTTTTGTGATGATTTGATTTCAAAACGCAGAAGTCGGAGATATATAAGTTGACCGGTCAGTGCTTTGTAACCGTGTACAGTCCCGGCTAAGATCCTGTCCTTCGGGGGCACGGTGACCACGCCCTGGATGAAGGAGGTGCGTCTGCCTTGCAGCTCAGTGGGGGAACCGGCCCCCACCATTAAATGGACCAAAGACAGGTAAGAGTAAGAGTACATCGCGTGGTATTTGTGTCTAAATCAGTGTTTTTCAACCACTGTGCCTCGTCAGGTGTGCTGTAGAAAATCATCCTATTTCACCTAATTGGTCTAAAAAGATTTTTTGATAAGGAATTCATTATCTGCAAATAATATGCCATTTTTGTGTGTCTGTGCTGTACTAGTGACTGGTGGCGTAATCATGTAATAATTCCTTATGACTAGATTTTGTATATAATTTTGCATATTGAAGTGGACATGTTAAGAGCAATTTGAAAGAAGAAATATAAAATATGATAAAAATACATTTATTGTGTTTATTTGATTCCTATTCAAGACACTTAAGATAAGATAAGATAAGAATAACTATAGTGTTACTCTAGGCAGCTACAGATTTGTTTAACATTTTTGGTTGGTGGTGTGCCTCGAGATTTTTTCTATGAGAAAATGTACCTTGGCTCAAAAAAGGTTGAAAAACACTGGTCTAAATCATGGCTCACTGAGACAGATGCTGATCTTTTTGGGATGGAAACGCGTCACAAAAACAGCTCAGTACCACATCTGGATCCGGGACGCTAACTCTGAGTAACCCGTGCTTTTCTTTTACCAGCGAGGACTCCGCCATCCCAGTGACGGCCGACAGCCAGAGGCAGATCTTATCCAACGGCACCCTGGTCTTGCGCTCGGTCAAAGCAGAGGATTCTGGGTACTACACCTGCACGGCGACCAACACCCTCGGCTTCGACACCATCATAGTCAACCTTGTGGTGCAAGGTAAGAGAAAAGTTGCGTGTAACTGAGTGACGAACCAGGGCTGAGTTTGAGGCATTTCTGCTCAAGTTGTGGGTCCCTTTTTTTTTTCTTCCCTGGACCTCCAGTTCCTCCTGACCAGCCTCGCCTGACTGTCTCCACCACCTCCACCTCCTCAATCACTTTAGCTTGGATCCCCGGAGACAACGGTGGAAGCTCAATCAGAGGTATTCTACTTTCTCGCCTTTACTTTAATGCGGACAAACCTGCCCAATCGGGAACAAATGTGTGACTATCTTCCTCTTTTTCATTTTGTGAACTGTACCTGGCCCTCTATCTGCCAATTGGACTTTCCCAGTTGCTCAATAAGCTAATCTTTTTGTCTAAAAATGAGTCAAACTGGAGCTGGCAGAGCTGAATCGCGGCTGACCGCTGCCCCCTGGTGTCCAGAGGATGCATTTTTTTTAGGCTCCGTCAGTAAATCTGGGCGCTTGTGCCTGACATAGCTTTGTTCCGTGTGTGGCCGCAGGATTCGTGCTGCAGTATTCGGTGGACAACACGGAGGAGTGGAGGGACGTGTTCATCAGCTCCAGCGAGCGCTCCTTCAGGCTGGACAACCTGCGCTGCGGGACTTGGTACAAAGTCAAGCTGGCCGCCAAGAACAGCGTCGGGTCGGGGCGCATCAGCGAGATCATCGAGGCAAAGACGCACGGAAGAGGTGAGGGCAGCTTCTCATTTTGGATGTACGACTTGTTTAAGATGGGGTAGAAAGGTCTTGTTGAATATTAAGTGTTAAAATTTCCTTTTCTTACATCGGCCATTCGGATTTTTTGTTGTCCCTTGAAAACATTAACTTGTTTAAGATGGTGTGGAAAGTGTAAGAATTTCCTTTTCTTACATCGGCCATTCGGATTTTTTGTTGTCCCTTGAAAACATTAACTTGTTTAAGATGGTGTGGAAAGTGTAAGAATTTCCTTTTCCTTCAACGTTCATTTGGATTTTTTGTTGTCCTTTGAAAACATTCAAAATCAGAATCAGAATCAGAAATACTTTAATAATCCCAGAAGGAAATTATTTAAATGTGTCTTGACTTGTTTTGCTGGTTATCGTTTAAGAACTTATCAACACATTTTCCCCTTTACGCTCTTGCATTTGGGGAATTTAGCTTTTAATGTAGCAAAGAAGTGCTTTTCAGTTTCACATCTGTTTTTCCTGTGTTTTTATTATCTCCAGAACCAGTTTTCAACAAGGACCAGCCTCTGCTGACCCACATCAACTCCACCCACGCGGGCCTCAACCTGCAGGGCTGGACCAGCGGGGGCTGCCCCATCACCGACCTGATGCTGGACTTCAGACCCAAAGGCACGTGGGCCTGGCAGAGCCTCAAGGCCAACTCCACCACCCAGTTGTTCCTCAGCGAGCTGCGGGAGGCCACCTGGTACGAGCTGAAGATGAAGGCCTGCAACAGCGCGGGCTGTGGGAACCAGAGCTCCCAGTTCGCCACCACCGACTACGACGGCAGTGAGTGGACCCTTTGTTTTATTTTCAGTGGCGTCTCTATTCTCATACCTTCCTTTCTCGCTGACTTTTGTTATTGTTATATCATTGCCATTTTTCATCTAGTCTACGTGTTGCTGTGTTGGCTGCCTCTCTCTGCTCTCTCTCTCTCTCTCTCTCTCTCTCTCTCTTGCCCTCTCTTTCCCTCACCCCCAACTGGCCGAGGCAGATGGCCGCCCACCCTGAGCCATGGTTCTGCTCGATGTTTCTGCCTGTTAAAAGGAAGTTTTTCCTTGCCTGTGTCGCCTAGTGCTTGCTCATGGTGGGAATTGTTGGGTTTCTGTAATTAACTTCAGAGTAGGGTCTGACCTGCTCTGTTTGGAAAGCGCTGTGAGACAACTGTTGTTGTGATGTGGAGCTATATAAATAAAATTGAATTTAATTTAATTCATTTTCCCTCCAAAAGGCACAATCCCTCCCATTAAATCGGCCCGTGGAGAGGGAGACGATGTAAAGAAGCTGTTCTCCATCGGCTCCCCGGTCATCTTGGTTACGCTGGGTGTCGCTTTGCTCTTCATTATCCGCAAGAAACGTAAAGAAAAGAGACTCAAACGGCTCAGAGGTGAGCAAAATCAAATTTTAAAAATGTTGTGTAATGGCATACCAGTGGACTTACAAGTTGTAAAGGTAATCCTGTTGACCCATTGAGGGTTTTTCGGCAGTTGTCCATCACATTTTCTTTTTTAGTGAAACCTAATACTGTTTTTATGTTTTTGTTGTGAAAATAAAGAAATAAAATAAAATCCTGTTGTCTAATATGAAGATATTGTCTCCCTGTAGATGCTAAAAGCCTGGCTGAGATGCTCATTAGGTAAGACGAAGCACAGTTGGGGGCCTGAGGGATTTTTAAAAATGGAGATATGGAGGATCAGTTTTACTAATCTGACTTTTTTGCTATGTTATTTGCCAATATGTGCGTGTAGCAAGAACAATCGGAGCGTGGACACGCCGGTGAAAGGCCCTCCTCAAGGACCAAGGCTACACATCGACATCCCGCGCGTTCAGCTTCTCATAGAAGACAAGGAAGGCATCAAGCAGATAGGCATGTCCGCGGCGTATTAAAAGATTACAGCTGTCGGCTGTGAGTGAATCATTTGTAAATTGTGTATTTCTTCTCGTGTGTGCCCGCTACAGGGGAGGACAAGGCAGCGGTGCCGGTGACGGACACGGAGTTCAGTCAGTCGGTGAACCCACAGAACTTCTGCACCGGGGTGTCCCTACACCACCAGGCTCTGATCCAGAACTCAGGGCCTCTGATTGATATGTCCGACATCCGCCCTGGAACCAGTGAGTTCGTCCCTCTCATTGATTTTCGCAGCGAACGCCCAAGTGTTTATTGACAAAAGAACATTGTGTGATATCGGCTTCCTGTTTCTACATGGATTAAGGCCTCTAAAAACCAAGCTGTTAACCCGATTCTTTAGTCGGAAACCGGAGAATATACCAGAGGAGACCAAAAGTACAAAAATAAAATTTTTTGGACACAGTTAAGTGTATCAGCTGGGCTTTTCACTGACAAAAACCTCTCTCTGGGTCTCAGTGGGTAAAGAGCCCTGAGATCTGGGTGATGGGCATTATCTCCTGGGCTCCATCCGCCTCCTCAAAGGAGGACTGGACACAACCAAGTCCTATTGGCCAGTTACCTCTGGGCAGGAACAGGCCAGGTCCTAATTCATGCAGATGACAGGAATGTGGTAACAAATGGTGTGTGTTTGTGTTGACATAAAGGTGGATCTAATGCAACACAGAGAGAAAAAGAGAGAGGAGAGAGTCTGTGGTTATAGCCAGAGACTTTAACACAAAAATATAGTTATAAAAGGAATAAGACACTACATAGATCATGTTATAGCATACAATTTTTAAGTGAGTAATTATAGCCAAATTCAGACACTTTAATAGATTTAATAGCCAGATTTTACAAGCAGTTGATGATAAATTCACCGTAAACGTGTTGTGATTCGTCTTTGTGAAGTCCTATTGGACAGTTACCTCTGGGCATGAACAGGCCAGGTCCTAATTCATGCAGATAACATTGGAATGTGGTAACAAATGGTGTGTGTTTGTGTTGACCTAAATACGTGGATCTAATGCAAGAGAGAAAGAAAAAAGAGAAAAGAGAGTCTGTGGACACAGCCAGAAACTTTAACACAAAATATAGTTATAAAAGAAAAGAAAACAATCAGTAATTTACATAGATCATGTGATAGCATACAATGCTAAAGTGAGCATTTATAGCCAAATCCTAACAAAGCCGTTGTCTGATATCCGCCTCCTCTCGCAGACCCTGTGTCCAGAAAGAGCATCAAATCAGCCCACAGCTCCAGGAACAGATACTCCAGCCAGTGGACCCTGAGCCGGCCCAGTCAGAGCCAGTCCACGGCCTCGGCGCGAACTCTGACCTCCGACTGGCGCACCATGGGCTCCCGCGGCATCACGGCCACGGAGAGCGATAGCTACAGCGCGAGCCTGTCCCAGGACACGGGTGAGTTCAAACCCACTCCCAAAGCAGGACTAGTTCTGCTTTTGACAGATATGAAGAGTCCTTTACAGGCCATTTGGAAGCATTAACATCCTGAAATCCAGTGGAAATCCATGCATTTCACAGCTTGGCCTTTAGTAGTGCTCCGTCTGAATCAATTCACCCCTCAACTATTTTATGGTTATAAAAATCATCTTATTATGTAGAAATACAGTATAAAGATCAAGGGTGCACAAGCCTTCTACTACTGCAGCTACACATCAATAATATCTTCATAAACTCGCAACATTATTTAGGAAAAAAGCTACATTTTACTCACTTACTTTTCTTGAAAAGTCTGTCTTGAAAATGGCCGTGACAGTAAATCTGCCACGAAATCAATTTCTTCTCCTCCTTCGTCCATTTGTGATGATAAAATAGCTATTACACCAACACAACTATATTTGGGTTAGTTTGCTAGCTTTAGCTGGACGGATTGTGAAGGCCTCCAGGCAGATGTCTTTGACTTTGACCCTGCCTAGCAACAAGTGATGGCTGAAATGTGATTGGTTAAATGCTTTCATATGAAAATACATATCTGGAAGCAGCACAACCAGGGACAAAGCTATGAAAGGAAGCGGACAGACCATTTGTAAATATTTAATAAGTAGTCATGGACAAAATATAATTAACATCCGTCTGTGATTCAGATATTTTCTTAGGCCTGCAGAGAAGGCCCTGCAGGCCCTGACCGCCCACCACTGCTGAAATCAATGAAACACACAATTATTGAAAAATCATCTCCTCCACATATTTCAGTTGTTTTCAGTGTTAGAACTTGGCTGGAATTACTCACTTTAGCATTGTATGCTATCACATGATCTGTGTAAATTCCTGATTGTTTTATTTTCTTTTATAACTATATTTTGTGTTGAAGTCTCTTGCTGTGACCACAGACTCTCTCCTCTCTCTTTTCCTTTCTATACATTTTTCTGTTGTATTAGATCCATCTTTAGGTCAACACAAACACACACCATTTGTTACCACATTCCAATGTCATCTACATAAATTAGGACCTGGCCTGTTCATGCCCAGAGGTAACTGGCCAATAGGACTTGGTTGTGTCCAGTCCTCCTTTGAGGAGGCGGATGGAGCCCAGGAGATAATGCCCATCACCCAGATCTCAGGGCTCTTTGCCCACTGAGACCCAGAGAGAGGTTTTTGTCTGTTAGAGCCCAGCTGATACACTTAACTGTGACCAATAAACGTCATTATTTATACTTTTGATCCACTCTGGTGTATTCTCAGGTTTCCAACTAAAGAATCTGGTTAACATCAGCAAAAGAAAACATTTCTCCATGCACAGAGAAAACACTGTACTGTAAATGCTGGTGACTGAATCGCTCCCATCCTGAAAACACCTGAAGACATCTGTTTCCTTGACCCCGTCCCCCTGTTTTTGTTTTTTGTTTTTTCGCAGATAAGGGTCGTAACAGCATGGTGTCGACGGAGAGCGCCTCCTCCACCTACGAGGAGCTGGCCCGGGCCTACGAGCACGCCAAGCTGGAGGAGCACCTGCAGCACGCCAAGTTCACCATCACCGAGTGCTTCATCTCCGACAGCTCCTCGGACCAGATGACCACGGGCACCAACGACCCGGCCGACAGCATGACGTCCCTCAGCACGCCCTCCGAGCCGGGCATCTGCCGCTTCACCGCCTCGCCGCCCAAACCGCAGGACTACGACCGCGGCAAGAACGTGGCCGTGCCCATCCCCCACCGAGCCAACAAAAGTAGGTCCTCCGTAGAAGACGGGAGCCGCCCGGTTCCATTCGTTTTGACTTAAACTGGTCGTTTAACTCATTGACTGCCGGCCATTTTCAGAACAGAGAGTCCCATACTGCCAGAGTTTTTTTTGAGCATTTTGACTGAATTTTCAAGAGCCACAGAATAGTTTGTGCTATGACTATGTAAACACCGAACACACCAAAATAAAGAGTAGACTCTCTTCTTTCATCAGGAAAAAAAATGTGTTTCTACCTTATTCCGTTCTTCCTCGACTTGCGTCTCACCGGCGACATGTTCTCTGTCATAGCGAACCGTTACCTTTTTCTTATTTGCCTACAGTCTATGCTCATCTCCCATCAAAAGTGGCACTGCCCCCTAGAGGGTCAATTTGTTACTACATACTCTGTCTAGAAGCCTGATATTTACGGACAAGCTTTAGCAGATCGTCCCCCAGCCACTCTCGTTAAAAAACATAAAAGACGTCTATAGACGTCTTTGGCAGTCAACGGTTGGATTTGAATTGACGTCTATAAACGTCTTTGGCAGCCAATGAGTTCATTTCAACGTTTTTTGGTTGTTTTAATCTTTTTTTCTCCGTTTTTGCAAGGTGAATTCTGCAATCTCCCCCTTTACATGATCATTTTGGACATTATCAGTCCAAATGACCCAAATGCCATTATTGATTTCAACGTTTTTTGGTTGTGTTTTAACCTTTTTTCTCCGTTTCTCCCAAGTGAATTCTGCAATCTCCCCCTTTACATGATCAATTTGGACATTATCAGTCCAAATGACCGAAATTCCATTATTTATCTCATAGTTTTTCTGGTTGTGTTTTAACCTTTCTTTCTCCGTTTCTCCCAGGTGAATTCTGTAACCTCCCCCTTTACATGAAGACATTTGGACATTATTAGTCCAAATGCCATTATTTATTTCAGCGTTTTATGGTTGTGCTTTAATGTTTTTTCTCTGTTTCTCCCAGGTGAATTCTGCAACCTCCATTTGGACATTATTAGTCCAAATGCCATTATATATTTTGTGTTTTAATGTTTCTTTCTCCGTTTCTCCCAGGTGAATTCTGCAACCTCCCCCTTTACATGAAGACGGACCCCTTCTTCCGGAAGCAGGGCGAGCTGCAGGACCCGTGCCCGGCGGTGCCCCCGCGGGAGGCGTCCATCCGCAGCCTGACCCAGCGCGCCTACCACACGCAGGGCCGCCACAAGACTCTGGACCCGGCCAAGCCGCAGGCGCTCACGCTGGGCCACTCGGGGCTGGGCGCCGCGTCGGGCACCGCCACGCTGCCCCAGAGGACTCTGACCATGCCCGGCCCGGTCGCCGCGGCAACCGCCTCCACCTCCAGCACGGGCAGCGGCGGCGGGGGGAAGGTGGGCGGGTCCCGGGACTCGCTGCTGGAGAGCAGCTCCTCGGCGCTGGGGAGGCTCCAGAAGCAGAGCGCCGGCGCCTACTCCAAGTCCTACACCCTGGTGTAGCCCCGCCCCCTTCCCCCCCCCCCTACCACCCTCCTCCTCCTCCCATGCACAGACTCCAGACTCGCCGCCATCTTTCTTTAAACCCAAACGGATGGCGAAACCGCCCGGCTTCCTGTCTCGTTTTTTTCCTCGGGAAAAGACGTCTTTCCCCCTTTCCCCAAAAACAGAGACCCGGCTAACACCCTACGTTTCATTTTCGTGTGGGACTCTTATATAAAGACTACTAACTAACTCCGACTAACGGTTTGGTTTTCCGGGCCAGCTGGTGCTCAGCTGCGTTTCCATTCTCGCGGGCAGAAGCGCGGCGAAAAAAAACAAACGAAAAAAATGAGAAAAAAAAAATGAAAAAAGGGGGGAATGATTTCCGTGGTCATTTGGAGATGCTTGACCGACGAGCTTAAAAGGTCCGTGTGTTCCTGATGACGAAGACTCCAATAGCCAGTATGAAGCTGTGTGGCCATCCTGTCTCTCATAAACACACACACACACACACACACACACACATAAACTGTCTCTCATAGTTTATTATTGTCAGTTCGCAAGACTTCCACTTAGTTTGCCTTGTCCCCACCCTTTCCCTGTGTTTCTCAAAGTCCCAAATTGCTATTGGCAGATTCTCTTTTCCATGGTGATTCCAAAAAAAAAAAAACAATTCAGGTTCACTTCTGTAATCAGTAAAACTCTCCGCCACATTGATATTCCCCACTCATCACTGTGCATCTGAACAGTGTCTGACAGCGTCTAACTCTTTAATCGAATCATCACAACCCCCGACAAAACCAGCTGTAATTTTCTCGCATTACAAATAGAGAATATTTGGTATTATAAAGAATTTTACATATATATTTCTATGTAGGTATATTATTGACATTTAAGTAAAATGATGACAAAGTATAATTGTATCTACTGCGATGGCGTGGTGGTATATACAACAATTTAAATGTTACGGTCAAATTTTAAGAAGGAGACAATCGCTCAATCATTAGATTTAAAAAAAAAAAGAGAGAAATTTTAAAAAGGTCGGACTGAGGAAAGGAAATGTTTAGTGTATATATACAGTATACGGGATATTCTGCATGTTATTGTACGTTGGGCGGCTTACAGAGAGGGAGAGAGGGCCTTTTTGTCTTTTCAAGGCGTGGATGTGGAAACAATCACAACGCAAAAAGGCCTTCCAGGATGTTTGTGATGTTTGGAGACGGGCTTTTTAACGTTTTATGTAGCTTGTGACGAGCCCCAGGTCGGTAGATACAATAACATTCAGAAAGCCAAATCGGAGGATCTCAGAGGATCCCCAAATAATTCTAAAGAAGGTCACAAATGCAACGATGAGCTGAAAGGAATGCCAGTCATGATGTGAATGAAGTTGAATAATTTAACGTCGAGAGATATTATATGTCAGGGAGTTCTGTTTTGAAAAAATTCTATAATGTTCACTAAAAAATGATATCTTTGTTGTTGTCCTGTCTCTGAAGTACTGTAAATGTCCCACACTTTATCTCCGGACCCCCCCCCCC